CCCCCCCCCTCCGAGAAAACAAAATCTTGCACCAGGGCCCTTTGTTCCTTAGGTCTGCCATTGTTTGATTCCATGACATCATGATATCACATTAATTGGGCACTTTGTGGTCATCGGACGAATAATCAACACTGCTGTAATCTATATAAGGGAGGTCATGAGTATATAGTTGAAGGAAGTTGAAGGAAGGATCACTTTTGTATGTGTTTTAACTATGCAAACTTATTTTTTTACTTTTTGTACAATAAAGATGTAGTTTTCATACAGCTTTGTATTGAGACCATCAGTGATATCTAAAAAGCCCTCACATGTTTTATTATATACTTCATTTGGGGTGTGGTATCACCTTAACCCCATAATTAGTTCCCAAACTCTATATACATAGAATCTGTCTATGAGAATCTTGCAATGCCTCATGGAATTTGTAGTTTCATCACAGCTGGAGGGCCAGAGGTTACCCACCCCTGATCAAGGGTGAACAACCAGTGTTGCTACGTCCTTCTGCTTTCAGGTTCAGGAGAGCTTCATATGGGTTTTCACCAGATACCTTTGCTAAAGCCTAAATAAATAAACCAATGCACCCTGATTGAAATGCATTTGCTATTAGGGCAATACACCTAGATGTGGGTGATTGTGCCAACCTCTTTGCATCTCCTAGAAAACTTGGGTGAGGTACCCAGAATACATTTTGTGAGCTGCTGAGGTACCGTGTACTAACGTGGAAGTAATGTATTTGCTCTCAATTACTTAGAAGTTTATGGAGATGTGTGTTTGTGTTCTATACCCATTTCCAGTTTTATAGCTCTAAAAGGCTTTTCCCATCGACAAACCTGTGAGAGAGGCGTTGGGAATTGGCTTTCCAAAAGTGAGGAAACGATGGTTGATAATATGCCCTGAGCCTGAGAATTGTTCAAGTTTTCAAAAGCAGTATTTTAAAGTTAAAATGATTTCTGGATTGTGGAGGTTAAAAAGAATTTGATTTGCAAATCACTAAACAATTTTGCAGGTGGTGCTTTATGAGTGGACTGCTCACGATCCTCCCACAAGGGTAATTAAAATGTATACTTTTCGCATTTTCTGTTTAGTCCGTCATGTAAATCTGTAGGGCTTCCTTTTATATATTTATTACTATATGATCTGCCAGCACCCTAATATATAAACATAATGGCAGCTCACATGCTGACAGAAGGTCAGAAGCTTATTTAAAGGGCAAGGCATTTGAGTTCTTAAACGTTAGAGAGTTAAAGCCCCAGTAAGCACCTTTGGAGATATATGACAATATAGAATTGTGTTACAATATACAGTGACCAACCCTTTTATCATGCTATCAGATTGGTTTTACTTCAAATTGTAGTAGAGGTCCTACTGCCATTAGATCAGGGGTGGACAAATTAATATGGAATTTAGGAGCCAGTCTGTCCAATCCAGGAGCCAACTCCTTTAACAACAACTAGAGAAAATGCCAGCTGTAATTTCTAAGAAGCATTGGTTATCTGGGATTTGCCCAGTGCTGCATTAGATCATTGCAAAAGTTTGACAACATATCCTGAGATCCTAAGATGCACATTTAGAAAAACATATAGGCGTCTTTAATATGATGGTTCAAGTGGAGTAACCCATTACAACCAGATTTCAGTTTAGTGAAGACCAGTGAATTATTCATTCTAAATGGTAGCTACAGTTTCTGAATTTTGCACATTACTTTTGTCTTAAAGCCCAATTAAACTTCCAGTTTAAATCAGCTAAATATGTTCCAACTACATCAAAACAAAGGTGCTCAAAGCCTTACAGTTTGTTCTTTTTAGAAATGAGCTATGGCCCAAGTACATAAGCCTATCCCCTGCCAGCATGCTGCAAAGAAAGCCCCTTGTTGTCTGTGTAGAAGCAGTGGCCTCTCTGCAGACATCTGACAAGTGTCAGTACCCACAATATACTAGATCCTGCACGAGCATACTTTTCTTTACAAAATAACAAGTCATCGTTTCTTTGTTTAATATTTTATTTTTCAGTGTAAGGAAAAAAACTAACAGAAAAAATATAAAGAGAACAACAAAATGGATCCTATACAGAGCGCCCCCTTCTATACATCCACCTTTCTAAATATTCAAACTGAAGATATTGTGGAGCTTAATTAACCATGAAGCTGGATAGGTCACTATATAAATGGAGAACACACACTGATGTGTAAGCTTTGGCAATATTATAATACTAAAGCACACCATGGGGTAATTGCTTCACTTTTGCACCCAATTTACACACAGAACGGAGATACATACTGTATATTTACATATGTGCAAAAGCAATGCAACACCCACAACCTACTTTTCCCTTTGCTTAGTACACTCTGCCCTGTATGTAATGGAACTGTATTAATGCATCGCAAGAGGGTATATGGGGGTTATCTATATGAATAATAGTGTTACAAGAAACAAAACTGATATTTGGCAAATGTCCAAATAGTACAATAAAAAAAGTCCACTAAAACCTTAATGCCAAGGAGCGCAAGTTAAGTGTGGTGTGTCATGCTTGCAGCTCTCTCTACATGGGTGTTGTCAATATCAAAACAGAATTCTACGAGCCTCACGCAGGGAGCTGCAAGGTAACATGACCAGGAGGTGCACGGTGCAGGACTTATGACCAATGAAATCAGTATAGGTGAAAAGTATTTACAATTCATTATCTTCATCTGAAAGCCTTTTTTGCAACCCATTATGTACTAAATATGGCGTCATCATACATATAATATTGCTCATCTCCTTTTGCAATCAGCAGCTGAAAAACTGTCAGAGCGGTACTGCAGGAGGAGGAACTAACTGGGGCAGCAGCAACAGTACTAACATTTTTGATGCTGCCACCCAATTCTCATCTTATTGCATAGTGGGAATAATCCTGATTTAAACAGTCTAGTTGCGGCCAAAGAGAACAAAACGGCAAAATACTTTATCATCTGGTGGACAAAGCCTTGTCCACTCTTCCCATATGTAGTTCTCTGAATCCATGTACTCTCAGTTGAAAGGGTTTTTATTTTTCCAATGTACACTGTCCAAGAGAAGAATGTGCTTGCAATATATGCATATGTATTATCTGCATGACGATTCCATGTGTGTAATACAGAGATGTGTGTGCTTCAAAAATCCTCAGGAGAAGTACACAAACCCAGCAAAATGAACTAACCTAAATGTGTGTTTGGCACAATATTTTCACTTAACACAGTGAAGAATACTTCATTAACCAATGCTCAGTCATGTTTTCACTTGACGTTACCACCTCTAAGTAGCAGGATTTCAGGCGTCAGCAGGCAAACTTAATTGCTGAAAATATATTTAGTTTACAGCATGAGAATGAACTCTCTAACAGCTTGCTTTCATACCTAAATATAAATCCATTGTGTCATGGCCTTAAAAAATTCAATCCGTGAGCCACAATTAACTGTGCCGTGAGACGTTCTAAATGTCCTAACCTTAGTTCCTTAACAAAATCCATTGGTCTCATGCCCAGAAATTGCTGCAACTTTTGCCATCACCAGCTTTAATCTACAACCAGGGAGGAATTGGCAGAATGCCATTAAGTAACAAAATGGAGGCACGGGGCAATCTCAATACTATTTATCTCTCTAACCAAGCTACACTATGATTTAGCAATAACAAAAAGCATATAGAATGTGTTTTATCTACAGGTCTTTACAATTGAAAAAGCAAGTTCTGTGTTCTAAAAACCTCCCCCTAAGACTCACGGAAAGGACCCTGAGCAAGTGATAGTGGGGATGGGTGAATTAGATTACTGCAAAGTAAAAAAAAAAAAATCTTTAACCACACTGCTACTACTACAATACTAGTACAACTACCAGTACAAAGACATCTGGTTTAGTAACAGACAGCAGCTCTAAGCTTCTGAGTAGCATAAAGGTCTTTGTTATTTTGTGCTGAAGTTCTCCATTGTGCTGCAATCTTTACAGTGACCTCAAGAATCAAAAGTGAGTATATTCCAGTGGTTGGACCTTCAAGATCTCTCCCCACAAGTTCCTAACTCCCCCTCTTCTACTGGGCATAGAGTATTAGGAGGAGATGTTACCCCGTACTACAACTATTATGTGCAAAGGAGGGGGAACAAAGAAGCATGTTAGGGTAACAAAATGATTCATAAAAAGACACATGGAGGTGGAACTATAAAAAGCTGTCCTGTATTCTGCCTGACCATTGAGAGAGCTAGAAATAAAGGATAAGAAATCACATACAGAAAACAGTATACGATAAGGAAGGAAGCCTTAAGATCTAACTACCCCTTTGGGACACAGGTTAATCTATCCCAATAAGCTTTATCCAAATCCTGCATTTTTTTTGTTTGTTTACATAGTTATATGAATTGTAAGTATAAAATAAGAAAAGGCAAAGTGATCAGAAAACAAAGGACAATAAAAATCTGGAGATAGGAAAGAGAGAAAGACAGGTACAGACATCTTGTTATCTCCCATGTGAAGTCTGGGTATGTTTTTAGTTTTCTAAGTAGCATAATTAGCTCTGCTAAAATGCTGTTCCACCCTCACGCAGAGTGGAGGAGATCACATGTCCCCCGCGTCGCGACTTCTCAGCAGGTCACCTCCGTGAACGTTCCGGTTGGTCCTCCCCCCGACTCGCTGCTCTGGGAGAGGGTACGAGAGCGTGAGCGATTCCCCTCGCTGGATAGGGAGGCGGTGCGGGAGCGAGACAGACGAGTCATACAGGAGGAAGCCACTGCAAATAAGCAAGAAAAAGTGAGAAAGAGTTGCTGGATAACAGAGACCAGCAATGACATTTTGTTAAATATTAGTTTATATGGTGCAACTTAGAGACTAAGTTCTCAAAAATTGAAATTTCAGTGTTGGGTTGAAGCCAATTGACAGTGCACACCACCTTGACATTTCTACAGCCTTTAGTACAACTTTATGGCAAATGTCCCTGATAAACTCTCCACAGAATTCCAAATGCTGCATTCAGACTTAAATATACTGTGAAAGATAGTGATGATTGTGTTGGGGGGGGGGGGGGGGGACAAGCAAACACCCGAGCAGGA